GCTCCCAGTCCCGTGCCATCTCCACACTTGTACAAAGGGACGACGATAACAGCATTTCGAAGACTGTTTATTGACACGACGACGAAACACAACTAGACATGACGAACTCAAGACGAATACATCACGAACTCAAGACGAAGACTGCTTTTCACACCACAGCAACACGCGCATGCACCAACATGACGTACACACGACGTACATGTACACAAAATAACGTACTACAACACAAACACACACACACACACACACATGTACATTGACAGCCACACATACAATTGCTTTGCAATGTTCTCAGTTCATAGAAGAAACAGGACTGCTGCAGCACGGAACTGACGAGGGACGGAGATGGAGCGAATACTGCTAGGCAGGTTGTTCCAGCATAGCGCACCCTGGAAGGCGAATGTCCCCTTTCCAGAGTTGCTGCGGGCGGGTGGCAGGCAGACACCCATGCCGGAGTCCAGGCGCATGGAGCGGCCACAAGCTGGCAGCATCAGAACCTGAAGCTCAGGACTTGCTTGGCAGTAACGGCAGCGCCATGCAAGGAATGCCAGCTTCTGCTTGTACACTTGGGTTACCCGATACAGTGAGAGGCGCTCCAGTAGGTCATGTGCGGATGTCCATGGCGGGCGTCCGAACACTACACGGGCACCACGGTTTTGCAGAACCTGTAGTCGATGACAGTGCCTGGCTACCAGAGATGTCGAGAATGCATTTGATCCGTATAGAATATCGGGCATTATGATTGACTGGTAGTAAGCTATCCGACCCTGTGTGCTGAGGCAATGCCGCATCCTCCACAGGACTCCGATCTTTTATGATACACGGTTTGCACAGCGGGTTACGTGGTCATCCCAAGACATGTTGCTATCAAATGTTACGCCAAGGTACCTGGCAGACTCCACAAGTGGCAGCAGGGTCCCGTCACAGTTCACCGAGAGTGGAGTATGCTTCTCAGGTAGGTTCCCAGAAATGGAGATCACCTGGCTTTTGGAAGCATTCAGGATCAAGCCACGGTCGTTTAGCCAGTTAGCAATAGCTGAAGCTGACGCAGACAGAATTGCAGACACTTCAGGCTTAGTCGGTTTGCTGCAATTGAGACCAATGTCATCTGCAAACTGCAAAGACAAAGCTTGTCCAGCAACATAGGGTATTTCCCGAGTGTATTGGTTGAACAAAATGGGGCCGAGCACCGATCCCTGTGGCACTCCGCAGGTGCAGAGAGTGATAGTGCTGCGTGATGGTCCGATACACACATGCTCGGTCCGTTCGAAGAGGTAAGACATGAACCACCGCAGGGCTGTGGCCGTGACGCCAATATTGAAGAGGTCGAGAATTAGTTGGTGATGTCTAACATTATCGAATGCTTTTGACATGTCCAGTAAGCAGACACCTGTGTACATTTGTTTGTCCCGGGCAGTAAGGATACGGTTGGTGATGAGAGCTAGTGTGTCCTCAGTGGAATGGCCGCTGCGAAATGCAAACTGACTAGAGAGAAGCTACTCCGTGATGTTCATGACTGATACAAGTTCCTTCTGCACCAGCTTCTCTAATAGCTTGGACAGGATTGGGAGAAGGGAAATGGGACGGAAGTGAGTGGGAACTGCTGGGTCACCAGTTTTATATACTGGTGATACGTGTGCAAGCTTGAAGGCAGAGGGTACTTTACCACGGGATAGTGAGGCATTGAAGAGAGCAGCAACAGACGGAGCAATGATATCAGCACAGCACTTCAGAAGTACTCCTGGCATGCTGTCACTGTCTGTGGCCTTGGCTGCATTGATGCCTCTCAGGAGACGATAAACAGAGTTGGTTCGGACATACTTGAAAGCTGATAAGGCTGTGAGGCATAATGGACCCTGTGACATGGTGAGCACGGGGTCTATCATTATCAGTCACAACTTTACTGAAGGCTGTGGCGACATCCTCCACATCACACGTTGGCTCAATACGTTGGCGAGTTCGAGATGTTACAGTGTTGATGATATGCCACAGTTTGCGTGGATTGCAACTATGTTCAGCACCTTGAGTTTGGAAATATCCATTGCGTTTCCTACGATTGGCATTTCTGGCAGCCGCACGGGCACGCCTGAATGCCGAGTAAAAATGGGTGCTGTTCTTGTTCTGAAGCCACTGGCGATGTAGGCTTTTCTTGCGACACCGGAGTTGGTACAATTCCCGGTCAGACCACAGGGGATATGAGCTCGCCTTCCTGCTGGTGGATTTGAGACGGGCATGTCTGTCAAGAACACGCATGAATTTAGTGTGCCAAGTGCTCCACATCTCATCAGTGGAGGAAGTCGATTGGAACACGCTCAGGCTGGCATTGGCAAGCTCATTCCGAAATTCTGGAAGGTATATGGTGCGCATGTTGCGGGTTAAACTGGTGCCCTGGCATTGCGAGGAATGTTGATGCTTAATATAGTGTACTCAGTTCGGTTCTGAACTGTGGTTTTCCTGGCGGGTTGCGCCAGCGTTTTACAGGGAGTGTAATGAGGTTTCCCTTTTGAATCCGTGAGATAGTTTCACCCCGGTGTGCTTCTATTTTTATGATTTGTTATCAGTTCATTTCTTCTGTCTACTCTATAAACGTTATAATTTCCGATGTTATTTGCCATACATATCACGGTTGACGCTCTATGTTCTTTCGTCGAGGTTGTCCCGACGCGACCATGCATACCGCCAAATGTTTCGACCACCAACCCGCTACGAATCACAAGGACGTGATTGTCTTTGAGAGGGGAGGTGTAGCGTTGGTCACGCGTTGGTCACGCTACAAGCTCAGCATTTGCGTATACGCTCAGCGTACTGTTCAATACGAATTTCGCTACAAGCTCAGCATTTGCGTATACGCTCAGCGAACTGTTCAATCCGACGTTCGCTACAAGCTCAGCATTTGCGTATACGCTCAGCGTACTGTTCAATACGACGTTCGTTCTACCATACAACGGTTGCATGACAGTACTTTGCTGTTTTTGATTATTTTCCATAAATTTCGTTTATTATATCTTTCACAATGAGTTCAGAGTTTTACTGCTAGGGACAGTTTTGCCGTTCTAGAGAAATAGAGAGAATTGTTAATAAAGTTAGTTTCGAGTTGTTAGGTTGTTTGGCTCCAAGCCCGCTACACTTTCACTGTTGATTCCGCGTGGCCGTTGGATTGAGGGTAGTGTGGGGCGGAAAAAAAATTTCTGTGCATATTATCTTTGCTATTTTATCACAGTTTTTGTCCAGATGCGCTTGCCATGCCTACATGATGCATAATCGCCATTGGGGATATACACCGCGCCAGGGGGTTTTCCCGGCTTGCTCGGTCCAGGAAAATCAATCTGACGGTCCCAAGTGGTTCTGCATCATGGCCTATTTCTGCCATTCACTGGCATGCCTATTCTATCTGAGACACTCTGTTCTCAGTCCTTGCTTCCAATCCTCACTCGTTATCCGGTTCACATCTGGCTGCGGCCAACTACCCTTCACTTTGTGTAGGTCGCTATTGCGGTCTATGTCTCTGTGTGTGCCAGTATAAGTTGAGCGAGAAATCTGCATCATCCCCAAAACCACCTGCCAAAATGTGAGCAGGTCGGCAAACTCCAAAACGCAAAGGCAGCAGAGCAGGACCGAAAAGTTCAAAAACGAAGTCGTTGTTCAGCCACTGAGGAGCCCAACTCCCAAAGTGGATAATCTCGCCTTTCTCAGCAGCCTCCACTGCGATGTCTCCTTGATCGCGAAGAACAGGCGAGATCTGCTCGCAGCAGTCGTGGAGACAATGCGAAATGTTTGGCTCTGATTGTATGCATCGTTGCGGGGCAGTCTCGAGAGCGGAGGCGATAATGAGTGCCAGCGCCGCCGCTGTCTCCACCTAGTTGCTAGGGAAGGCACTAGTGTAAATCACGAGCATGTACTAGTAACACAGAAGGCCATCAAGGATGCGGAGAAGTTGCTCTGTGGCATGCAAGAACGCGTCGATCGACCTGCCACTTTGGTTGGTTCCAGCTGTTATGAATAGAGCAACGGCGACTCAAACTGAGACTCTTTTCCCATCGATTTGTCTATATTATACACATGTCATTTGAATGTTGTGAAGTGTTTCTCTTCCAATAGAACACTTTTTTGAGCACAGTAACGCATTGAAAAGCCATAAGAAAAAGTCAGTAACTTTTTGGTTTCCGGAGCAAGTAGGCGTGTGAATCACTGCGTGCAATCTTACATATGAAATAAAGGTGGCTTATTTTATCCTCTGCAAAAATCTCCAAAATTTGGAAGAGCGGGCCCAAAAGCCAGAAGCCAAAAGCAGCAGAAACATGTCTTCAAAAATATGTCCTGTTTGCAGTGAGGCCTTGGAAAATATCCTGGATCTCTAAGGACACGTTCGTTGCAGACCTTTCTAGAAGAGACAGAAGTGTAAAAGATTACTACCTTAGTTTTGATAAGGCCAGGGATCTGCGAAAACCACCCATAGGTGCTATTTTGCCGAAAATGAGTTTTTGGCGGGACGTCAGTCCTTGAGCACTGCCCAAGCATAAATGATAAAGTTTTATGATCAAGATCCATCCATTTATAGAGTTATGAAAATAGTGAAAATAAGTGTTTGATCTGACGATGGATACACCTTGCTATGCACAGTAATTCAGTGGTCTACTAGGTGTTACATGACCAGTCTTATCTATAACCAACAATGCTACAATGCTACAGCCGTGTCAATGGCACAATAGCAGGGAGTAGTAAGAACAGTCTCAGAACGGAGCAAAGGCAAAAACTGTTGATTCCGATGCAGGACTCTTCCGTTTCAGGAGACTTCATAACTGCGGCTCGACGTCTTGTCGGTGATTACTACAGGCTGCCATTGTCTCGACTTGCCGTCGATCGGTTGAATAAAAACCTTTGCGCCAGAAATGAGTGACGGAAGGTCTTTCCTTCGGTGGTTGAGGTTCTCAGCGGCCAGCGGTCTTCTGGTCTCCTTCTTCTGAATGTCGGCTGATGTATCTGCAGCGGGCTTGAGGTGATCATTCAGGGTTGGCAACACAGTTCTGGTTCGGCGACCAAAATTGTTGCACGGGACTGGTCCTGAGACTTTCAGTGGGTGTGTTGCGGACATTCAATAACCCAAGGTATGGGTCAGACTTCTCTTCGTTGCAATAATTCATGAACTTCTTTGCGTCCTTGACAACGGCCTCAGCAGCACCATTCGATCTGCTGTTGCCTGGGCTGCTGCGCTCATTCGAGAATTCCCACTTCACGGTGAAGGCGCTAAATTCCCGGCATGAGAACTGGGAACCATTGTCGGAGACGACTACATCAGGGATGCTATGCCTCGCGAAGTGATACTTGATCTTGCTGATGCAAGTGCTGGCCAGGGTATCAGGAAGGAAATCAACCTCGTAGAAGTTGCTCAGGTAGTCAACCATAATGAAGTAGTTTCTTGACTGGATGGTGAAGATTTCGATCCCCACATTATGCCACGGGCGATCTGGCACTGAGTGTAGGAAGAGTGTCTAGGGCTGCTGCTTGCTGGTATGACGAGCACAGGTTTCGCAGTTTTCGACGAACAGGCAAATCTCACTCGACATTCCAGGCCAATAAACGAGGTCACGGTCTCTCCGTATGCAGGAGTTTACTGCCATGTGACCGGCGTTTGGTTTGATTTTTATGGCATTGCGCATGGACAGTGGAATGACGATGCGCTCGCCACGGAGCAGAAGACCGTCTTGTTCTGTGATTTCATCTCGGTAGCTGAAGTAAGGCCGTTTTTCTGGGCGTACTAGATGGGGAGTGTCTGGCCACCCTGACATGACCTGGTGCATTAGCTTGGTGAGACTCGGGTCTTGCTGTGTAGCGAGGCGAATCTCATTGTCCTGACGCTCACTCACAGGGCAATGCTGAAGATTGTTGACAGACACCTGCTCATCCTCGCTATCACCGGGAAGTGGAGGTCTGGACAGTGTGTCAGCAATGTGCAGTTTGCTGACTGGTTGGTAGGAGAGCTTTATGTCGTACGGCTGGACTCGCAGTAGCATGGACTGCAACCGCTTCGGCGCTTTGCTTACCAACTTCTGTGAGATGGATACTAACGGCTTATGGTCAGTGATGACATCAATGGTATGCACACCATACGTGTAGTGGTGAAACTTCTCCAAACTGAACATGATGGCTAGCATTTATTTTTCTATCCGTGCATAATTGCGCTCGGCAAGCTTCAACGAACGACCGGCGAAAGCAATGGGGCGATCATCTTGCATGAGGACCGAGCCCAGGCCATATTCGCTGGCGTCGTTCTACAATATGATCTTAAACCCTTTGCATGCTGAGCCCCTTTTCTCCAATCCACTGGCTTTCCAGCGCACTGACTCTCTTGGTGGAGTATGCACTCACAGCTCCGAACGAAATTTATTCTCATTTCACTCCACCTTGATAGATTTTCATCGTCCTGGGCTCGTTGGAAAGACCAGGACCAAGCGAATCCATCCTGGCAGCTCTCAGCTCCATAGACACATCAGGGCCACTTCCACTCCACCGAGCCTCGGAACGGCACAACAACTCAATTTCACATTCTTGTTCGGCTTCTTGCCCAAATTCAACAGATTTTCACAATTCTAACTGCGCTGCAAAGCTCAGATCCAAGCACTTCATTTGATGTCCATCACGCATGCGCCGTGCCAAAGGGAAATCCCCTGCCACGCTCTTCAACATAAAGAAGACTAGTAATGAACAAAAAAATCGCGTTCACTCTGGGCCGTGATTTTCGTGTTCATCTTGTTGCCGCTCAATGAATTCTTATCCTATCGCAAAGAACTTTATATCACCAGAAAGATGAGGTCAATACCTTTCCAACGGTGTATTGATTGTCGCGATGCGTTTAGGTTTGACGAAGTTACGAAAGTTTGTACACTGGTCTATGCGCTGCGATATATCGCGCGATTTTTTTGCGAGTTAACTCGTACGTAGTGGATCAGGTCATGCATAAAGTGCGAGTTAACTCGTACTCAGCACGCAAAGGGTTAATGTTCGGGTCGAAGAATGCCAAACCTGGTGTGGTGGCCAACATCTGCTGGATTGTCTTGGACGCGCATTGCTGCGTGTCAGACCACACGAATGACGCGTCCTTTCTGCAGCAGGTTCTGGGGTGGCTGCATGACATCGGTGAAGTTCGAAATGAAACGAGAGAGGTAGTTCACCATGCCGATGAACCTTCCTAGTTCAGTGAAGTTGGTTGCAGCTGCCCAGTCGTTGATGGCCTCAGTGTTGACTTCCAAACCATCTTTGGTGATCCGGTGTTCCAGGAAGCTGAATCTGGATATACCGGTTTCACTTGCTACTGTTGAGGCGGATTCCGATGCTATCACATTGCTGCAGGAACTTGGCTAAGTTGGCGTCGTGCTCAGCCTGATCTCAACCATGTATTACAATGTCGTCCGCGATAACGATGATGCCCTGGAGGTCTCCAAGCACACCTTGCAAATGCGTTTGAATTATCTCAGATGAGATGTTGGCAAAGAACGGTAATGGGAGGAAACGGTATCGACCAAAGTATGTTTGGACCATCGTCAACAGGCTAGATTCCTCGAATACTTCGACGTGCCAATAGCCTGATGCCAGGTCCGCCTTAATGAATACCCTCGCTTCCTTCAGCTCATGCCGTTTGTCGTCGATAACCGACATGGTGTAGTGTTCGCGCTGTAGGGCTTTATTTAGTTCCTTTGGGTTGATGCAGACTCGTAGGGCTCCAGACTTTTTCTTTGCCACGACTTTCTGGCAGACCCAAGGTGCGGGCTGGTCGGCGGGCTGTATGACCTTGAGGTTTACGAGGTGGGTCAGTTCCTCCTTTTAAGCTTTGGGCGAACAGCTACAGGCGCACGTCGGTTGGGCATGATAACGGGCTTGACCGTCTCGTCGCACTTCAAAGTCTGCTTGCCAGGCTGGCTGCCAAGCTTGTCGCTGAAAACGTCTTTGTAGTCCTCAGTCCAATCCCTGATTAGCACAACGTGGGCGAACTGGTCATCATTGACTGTGATGAGACCCATCCGCTCACATGTCTCCAGTGACAGTAGGGGAGTACATGTTGTATCGCTGAAGATCACTAGCTTGACGACATACTGCTTGTTTTGCGAGGATTCTTCAGGGTCTTTCGGCACGCACCCACGGGCTTGACGTCAGCCTAGTCCCACGTCCTGAGCTTGCCACGGTATGGCCTGATTGCTGCTTGGCCAACATACGTCTGTGGTATCATATTCACAGAAGCTCCGGTATCGAGTTGAAACACACTTTCTTGACCATCCACTAGCATTCTCGTCTTCACCTCCTTCTTCATGCGGCTATGGAGCGCATCCACCCAATCATCATCGTCACTGCTAGGCCATACACCTGGCACATGTGTTGGACTCGCTTGCCTTTCTGGCTGGTTGGATGATACGAGGTCTTGGGTTTGCCCTGCTGACAGACTGACTGAAAATGATTCTACTTCCCGCACTGCTGGCAGGTCTTTCCAAATGCGGGACATTTCCACAGTGGGTGACAGTGTCCACAATACCTACAGCTCTTGGACGCCACATGGTGAACAGCGCACATGTCTGTCTGATCACCCTTGATGGAGAGGTGCTGTTCCGGCGACTTCTCGGATGCTTTACAGGCGTCGACTGCGCGTTGCATAAACCTGCAGGATGTTGTCCGACATGCCGAATTGGCTGCAGGGACATTCTGCACCCAATTGCAGCGGAAGTTGGGCCCGGAGTTGCTGACCAACTACAACAGATGGCGATGTGACACAGGTGCCGAAGAGTCCGTACCCCCCCCCACCTACTGCAGTGGGTGCTGCGCGAAGCAGCCTTTTGCACGCAGGCGAATGAGACGCTGCACAGCATCCCCAACGCAACACTGGGCTCCTGGTCACCGCCATCCGCCAAGCCTTCCAGGTTATGACCAGCTATGGCGTCTGCGCTAGTGTCATGGCCGCGCGTTGGCGGGTTTGTGACTTGGCTTAGATCAGCCTAGTGGCTAACCAGGTAGGTGACCAATATAGTCACCATCCAAGTTAGCTAGCTCACACAGAATGACAGGTTTCTAATTCCACTTGAACAGTGTTTACTGAACCATTGCAATGCTAAATCGAAAGAATCAAGCGTGAAGAGTCAAAGACCCAAAGCAGGAGAGAGTCGAGGATGAATGCCAGCAAAACAGCTCCTTATATATGCTACATTATCAAAAGTAGGCAACAGCGACAAGAATGCGTAAGGATTATTTCTATTTTTCAAACAGTGATGCAATCAGCCAAACTAGGATATAACATTAGTACTTGTACAAAGATCAATCCGGGGAGCCCGCTCACCCAAATGTGAATACAGTGTTCTCCAAATGCTGGCATGATCTTGGTCCGCGATCTGGTGGCTGGGATGCATTGCAGCAGGCGGAAAGCGTAGCTGTGCCGTTCTCGTGGCTTCACTCAATATGGGCTCTTCCTACAAACATAGCAGCAGACGGCAATGCCGTGCTCCCTCCAACGGGCCTGTGGTCTAGAGTACGCAAAGTACTGTCGACCCTTTGCGTCTTACGACACGAGAAGAGGCGCCACTCTTGCTCATCTAACAAAATTAATGTATCAGCTCCCTTGCAGGACTAAGCGTGGTCCCCTTAAGCTCAACAATGTAGTGAGTACAATGCTTACGACTTGTACTGAAAGTGTTGCCGACGTACGACAACACTTTGCGACTCTAGGCCACGAGTTGTAAGCCATGATTGCTCAACTAACGAAAGTGCCAAATCCTTCGCAGGACTAATCATGGTTCTTACAGAACTCTAGAATATTTCGGAGACCAGCTTTTGGCTGCAGAACTCAATGTGTGGTCGCTTTCACGACGAGTCTGATCCGGGTCATGACAATTCCCCGGCCTCTCAAGAATCACGTCCCTGTGATCTCAACCATCATTAAAGTCAGCGGGTCGTGACGGTAATCGCCTAGCTCTCGTTGGCCAAGCCAATTGGTTCTGTACCGCAACAGGTACGGGCATAGAGTACGAAATGTGCCTCCACTGGTGGGACATTTCCATCAAAAAATCCCAACTTCAGCTGAAACTGGTACTGCTCCACTATTGTAGAAATGAGCCTGGTGTTGATGAACAGCACACAGCTTGTCACGTACAACTGAATGCACGTTTGCCAATCACTCACACAGAGCTTTTTACGTATGACGGTTCGCCAGTTTGTGTCATCCGAGATGAAGGTAGACCATAGGCCATAACGTGTGGTCGACACACCCCTCTACCACGTAGGTATCAGGTTCAGTACAAAACTGCCGCAGAGCTCCAGGAGCCATTTCATAGACTTGGTGGTATCCAACGAATCGGTTCCACCCACACACCATCGATTACAAAAGACCTTGCCGACCTCGCCAATACGTCCACGGTAGGTTCATTGC